ATAAATTATTTCTTATATATATATAATATATATATATAAGAAATATATATATATATATATTTCTTATATATATATAAATTATATTTCTTATAAATTGCATTTATTTCAGATGCATTAACAAACGAAAAACAAAGCAGACTTACAGGAGGTTCAACAGTGGAGTTAACTAAAGCACCCTTTATTGTATCAATCCGCCGTAATACCACATCAAATCAATTCTCTCACTTATGCGGTGGAGCTCTAATAACCCAAAGAGTAGTCATCACAGCAGCACATTGTTTTGTAAAGTAAGTAGTCATTCTTTTCATAGGAGACGGATTAATATAATTGTTTTAAATTAATTTCAGTTCAAGTTCTGTCACCTTAGCATATCGCCCAGTCAAAGAATTCAATGTAATGTTAGGATCTATAATGTTAATGCAGCAGGATTTATACACAACTATATTAGATATTCAGAAAATATTGCCACACGAAAAATTTACAGTTACTGAATTACAAAATGATATAGCTTTAGTCTTCCTGAATGGCTTAATATCATGGTCACATCCAGTTATACGTGCAATAAGCCTACAAACTCAGGAGACTCCTTCGAATACACAGTGTACGGTATTTGGCTGGGGTATAAACGATAAGGTTGGTATTGTTTTCTAAATTATAAAAATCTTTGATATATATTTATATTGATATATTATATTTTGTTTATAGCAAGAAATTAGTTATTATCTAAAAGCTGCATATGTGAGTATTAGTACTAAGGAAGAATGCGCTGAAATTAGTACTTATGGCACCTATGGCATATTTTGCGCTGGTTATAGTCCTGGCGGTGTTGGTGCCTGCGCCGGAGATATTGGTGATCCACTTGTTTGTAATAATCTTTTGACGGGTATTGTATCAAAGCCAAATTGTGGAAAATTGGGATATCCGGACACTTATACAAACGTATCTGAATTCTATAATTGGATAAAGCAAACTAATGCCAGTTTGGATTATACTAAATATGGTGATGGTGCAGCTGGCTTTAGTCAATCAAATGTTTTGGTATTACTCAGTTTGAGTATCGTTTTTAGTTTAAGTTATTTATTAAAAAATGATTGAAAAGTATTTAGTATGAGTTATTTTCATAAATTTTATTAAATTTGTTATTTAGGAAACGTTGGATAATAAAAGTTTGTACTTTTTTAACTAATAAATAAATTAATAAAATAGTTTCAATTAGTTAATTGATTTGGATTCGCACTAATTTATTATTTGTGAATCAAAAGTCATAACCACTAGACTTATTAATTTAATTGATCTTTAGGAAATTACATTCATTACATTTTAGGATATGATATTACATTCATATTATTATATTGAAGTGATGATCTACACTTAAAATGCTTTTGTTTTATATTTGTCTAAAAATATTGTAGAATATGTAAATATGTATACTCGATAAAGATCTGTTTACAAAATATGTTTTAGCTCCTTTATCTCCTTGAGGAGTATAGGGCATAAGGGATTCATTTTCATCTTGTACGATTGTTTGCGATCACTTTTAGTTCGTTTCATTGATGCACAAGCATCAGCATGTAGCCTTCGTCTCCATGAATTTTTTTGTCTATTCTCTTTTTAATCTACTTTTTGGATTCCAATCCAGTGCATTTCGGCATATTTCGATAGGATCTTTACGAAGCTTCTGGTCAGTCTAGTGCCATTGGCGTCTTTTTATAAACTTTACTATTGGTTCGATGTTAAATTTTCGGTGGAGTTCTTCATTGGTTATAACTTTTGTCCAAGGTAGTGCTTAGCTATATACTTAAATCGCCGATTTTTGAACTTATTAGTGCCTTAAATAATAGTTGATATGTTACTAGTAGTCATCGATCAGATCAGGTCAGATGCATAATGGTTATACAACAACATATAGAGAGGTATGTAACGCTCTCCCAACGTATTTTAATATATTATATTATTATACATTGAAAGAAGGTTTGATATTATTAATACTTATACAATTTGTTTGCTATATACATATATATGTGACTTTGCAAAGAAAAATGAAAGTCATTTTAACTTTATTTATGGGTTACTACTCGCCTTGCGAAAAGACTGTAAACATACGATACAAAACAAGACCGTCAAAGATGCTTGCTGGGGTTACCACAACAGACAATCTGCGTCGCGAGATATAGTATTTTCTACTACTCATAATCATATCAATAATATATTAAGAGTACTACTTTTGTTTTTGATGAATATATGTCTTTTTTTTAATTGATGACGTATATTGAAGTTAAATACAAATGATGAAACCGATAAAAATAGTATCTAAAGTATTAGTATACAAATGATATTTACGAAAGCCTAAAGTGCTAAAATTTTTAATTAATTAGAACATCTGAGATACTTATGATGAATAATAAAAAAGTTTTTCTTATCAAATTCAATTTGACATCCGATATATTCAAATAGTAGCTTTAGAGAACTAGTGGAGTAGAGTATTAAACATTTTGAACTAGAAAAATGTTGCTGATGAAAATATTAATAGTATTTATACTTTATATGCAACAGAATTGTTATGGTAAAAGTAAATAATATCATCATTATTTTTTTTATCATTATTTAAGTAGAAAATTTATGAAAAAATATATATTCTTTATATTTTCTTTTGAAATTTAGCCCAATTTGCCCAAACAAAAATTATAAATGGCACTGAAGTCAATTGGTCTGGAACAAAATACCAAGTTTCCTTACGTTTGAAATTTAATGACTGGTTCTTCGGTGCCGGTCATATATGTGGTGGAACATTAATCAGTACAAAAGCTATACTTACAGCAGCACATTGTATGTTGGAGTAAGTTCTTTCAAAATATGTTGGATACATAACCATAGAATCATATATATGAATTTATTCTTACAGTTCCAACAAAAATTTGCGAGATCCAGCAGTTTTTTTGGTAGTTATGGGTAATTTAAATAAATATCAGCAAAACCAAAATACACTTATTTACAATGTCACTAACTTCACTGTACATGAAAATTTTAATGACACCACTTATGAAGCAGATATAGCTATTTTGTATATAGATCGAGAGGTTCCAGTAAATGACAAACTTGTACAACCCATAGCGTTAAATGAACAAAGCAATTTATTGCACGGTATTAATTGCATAGTCACTGGTTGGGGTAAAACAGAAACGGTAGAATTAAATACATATAGTATTTGTGTTTATTACATATAATGTGTGTGATTTAGGGCTCTTATGCATCACAGTTGATGGGTGTAGAAGTAGAAATTATTGATCGAAACCTTTGTTCTCTCAATTACGGTCCCTTAATACGTGAAGACATGATCTGTGCTGGTTACATGAATGGTGAACGAGATGCTTGCTTTGGTGATTCTGGTGGACCTTTAGTTTGTAATAATAAACTATGTGGTGTGGTTTCATTTGGTTCAGGTTGTGCAGAACCTGGTTATCCAGGTGTTTACATAGATGTTGCTACTTATTCTATTTGGATAAATGAAAAAATAAATGTGCGACCTAATTATACAGCTCATGTAGGCGAAACTATAGATTATGAGACAGTAAGTGGGGTCAAAAATTTATTAGCTAATTTGAGCCTATACTATATAATTATGTTTCTTGTTTTCTTAATTGAATAAATATGTATTTTTTTGTATATATAGTTGGACTATGTGAGTCTATATACTAACAAGGGCATAAAAGTTACAAATAAAGTTTATATAAATAAAAAATTTGGAAAACTGTTTAAATTACTGTTTTTACTAAATTACATTGCAAAATTTTTATTAATTTTTAAGAAATAGAGATATATATTTTATTATTAGCTAATTATTATTAGCTTACAGGAATAGACTTTTTAAATTTCTTGATGGCCTCTTATTGTGTTAAGAATAAAATGTATCACTGAATTGTTTTTATTTATATTACTTGGTATATAATAATTATTATTAAGGGAATGTGGCATTGCGATCGTCGGGTTTATTTTGTCCCTTTCTGGCTTGAGAGTAGATCTCTAAGCCTTGGGCCGGCAAAAAATAGAAGTATGAAACTTATATACTTTACAGGGTTTTATTGCCTCTTCCGTAAGGGAGTCAATTCCGTTTGTGCATTAGTGCAGGGTATTATTATATATAAGAAAGATGCTAATTATTTCGGGGTTTTCGTTTTAAGACACACTGATGTAGTGCAGCTAATAGGAAGAACACTGGTCAAATAATACTGAAGGTTAAAGTGTTCTTCAAATTTCCTTTCTAGATCTAAAGTGTTCAGCTAAAGTCGACAAGAAGTATTAATATATTAAGGCTTGCCATTATTATATACTTCATGTTCAAGATCAAGAAGAAAGTGCTTTACATATTCATAAAAATATAAATTTTTATTACTGCTGATTTACTTTGAGGTCTCCGAATTATTCCGAAACATTTGCTGAATTTTAACCTTAAAGATTATAAAGTAAATTATAATAAAATTTGCAAAAATTTTCTCATGAGATTGAGAAATTGACATTTGAAACTAAAAGTTTCTAAAAAGCACTTTAAAGGAAATATTTTTTAATTGATTTCATATTTCATAATTTACATAATATAATTATGAGTCGAATATTCTTATATATATAGTATATTCAGTTTATAGAATTAAAAT